CCCAATTTGGGAGAAAACAGAGCACACATAAGATAGATAGTGCTCATAGATGAATGCCATGTAGATTCATGATGTGAACGAAATTCACCTTCCATAGACATAACACGCAAATGACGAAAATTCTGACATGTGGCCTTTAATTGCATTTTGTACTATGATGACCTCATTAAAATGAAACTTAGTGAAAGGTGATCTTGTAGAGAATTGCCTTATCTACAACATATCGACATTTCAAAGAGAATCGATGAATATTGAGAGAAATACACTCCATTTTTCATAAATACAATGACGTCATAATATGCAATTTTGTATTTTTGACTTCCAAGGCCATTATGATGACGTTAAGATGTACTTAATGGCCAAATGAGATATGAAATCATACCTCCGACTCATACTCTATCTAAATATGAAAAAAAATTTGGCAATCCCTATTCATCCCAATGGACTTTTCATAGGCATGTTTTTGCCCATATATGCAATGTATTACAAAAATCGCGCGTACGGACGGTTATCTTGAACGGACGCTCATTCCGTTTTTAATAGTGATAAAGAGCTAAACATGGTATCACATTTTCCGGAAAAATATGAGGAATATTCGGTCAAAAGCTTTTGCGGAGAAATTATTTTTCGTTCGGCCGTGACGAACGAAAACGTGCAAAAATGCGTGTTTTGCGTGATTTTTTATGAAATGCTTATAATGGCCTGAAACGTATGCAAAAAAAATTTAAGACGATTTTGAGCAATTTAAAATTTTACGCGCGCATTAACGCGCGCGCCTACGCGTACGCGCATTTTTGCGCGCATTTATTGAACTCAAATTAACCCGACGGATATTGATCTTAATCTTGATAAATATGAATGTAAAATTACTTTCCGTTATGAAGATATGATCATAAGTTGATTTTCACAAAATGGCGCCTGGATGACGTCACGATGACTTTGAGTCTTTGAAAAGTCACGCAGTTCTAAGTTAGACTAAGATCTATCATCATTGAAAGATTCATGACAATGGCTTTATTCAGTCTTGAGATATCCTGCGAACAAAATCGAGGAAGAATAATAGGAAGAAGAAGAATAATAAAGAAAAATCTTGACGAAATCAATAGGTGATACGTAGACTTCGTTACGTATCACCTAATGATTCCGTCAAAATTTGCAATTTCAACTTTCGATTGAAAATTCCGACATGATCCCAACATCCGATGAAAAAACAAAGTACACCGTTTTTATAGCCCATGGTCTCAGCTATAACATACCCCAATTTGGGAGAAAACAGAGCACACATAAGATAGATAGTGCTCATAGATGAATGCCATGTAGATTCATGATGTGAACGAAATTCACCTTCCATAGACATAACACGCAAATGACGAAAATTCTGACATGTGGCCTTTAATTGCATTTTGTACTATGATGACCTCATTAAAATGAAACTTAGTGAAAAGTGATCTTGTAGAGAATTGCCTTATCTACAACATATCGACATTTCAAAGAGAATCGATGAATATTGAGAGAAATACACTACATTTTCCATAAATACAATGACGTCATAATATGCAATTTTGTATTTTTGACTTCCAAGGCCATTATGATGCCGTCAAGATGTACTTAATGGCCAAATGAGATATGAAATCATACCTCCGACTCATACTCTATCTAAATATGAAAAAAAAATTGGCAATCCCTATTCATCCCAATGGACTTTTCATAGGCATGTTTTTGCCCATATATGCAATGTATTACAAAAATCGCGCGTACGGACGGTTATCTTGAACGGACGCTCATTCCGTTTTTAATAGTGATAAAGAGCTAAACATGGTATCAAATTTTCCGGAAAAATATGAGGAATATTCGGTCAAGAGCTTTTGCGGAGAAATTATTTTTCGTTCGGCCGTGACGAACGAAAACGTGCAAAAATGCGTGTTTTGCGTGATTTTTTATGAAATGCTTAAAATGGCCTGAAACGTATGCAAAAAAAATTTAAGACGATTTTGAGCAATTTAAAATTTTACGCGCGCATTGACGCGCGCGCCTACGCGTACGCGCATTTTTGCGCGCATTTATTGACCTCATATTGATCCGACGGATATTGATCTTAATCTTGATAAATATGAATGTAAAATTACTTTCCGTTATGAAGATATGATCATAAGTTGATTTTTACAAAATGGCGCCTGGATGACGTCACGATGACTTTGAGTCTTTGAAAAGTCACGCAGTTCTAAGTTAGACTAAGATCTATCATCAGTGAAAGATTCATAACAATGGCTTTATTGAGTCTTGAGATATCCTGCGAACAAATTCGAGGAAGAATAATAAATAAAAAAAAAAATAAATAAAAATCTTGACGAAATCAAAAGGTGATACGTTGACTTCGTTACGTATCACCTAAAAATCTTGACGAAATCAATAGGTGATACGTAGACTTCGTTACGTATCACCTAATGATTCCGTCAAAATTTGCAATTTCAACTTTCGATTGAAAATTCCGACATGATCCCAACATCCGATGAAAAAACAAAGTACACCGTTTTTATAGCCCATGGTCTCAGCTATAACATACCCCAATTTGGGAGAAAACAGAGCACACATAAGATAGATAGTGCTCATAGATGAATGCCATGTAGATTCATGATGTGAACGAAATTCACCTTCCATAGACATAACACGCAAATGACGAAAATTCTGACATGTGGCCTTTAATTGCATTTTGTACTATGATGACCTCATTAAAATGAAACTTAGTGAAAGGTGATCTTGTAGAGAATTGCCTTATCTACAACATATCGACATTTCAAAGAGAATCGATGAATATTGAGAGAAATACACTCCATTTTTCATAAATACAATGACGTCATAATATGCAATTTTGTATTTTTGACTTCCAAGGCCATTATGATGACGTTAAGATGTACTTAATGGCCAAATGAGATATGAAATCATACCTCCGACTCATACTCTATCTAAATATGAAAAAAAATTTGGCAATCCCTATTCATCCCAATGGACTTTTCATAGGCATGTTTTTGCCCATATATGCAATGTATTACAAAAATCGCGCGTACGGACGGTTATCTTGAACGGACGCTCATTCCGTTTTTAATAGTGATAAAGAGCTAAACATGGTATCACATTTTCCGGAAAAATATGAGGAATATTCGGTCAAAAGCTTTTGCGGAGAAATTATTTTTCGTTCGGCCGTGACGAACGAAAACGTGCAAAAATGCGTGTTTTGCGTGATTTTTTATGAAATGCTTATAATGGCCTGAAACGTATGCAAAAAAAATTTAAGACGATTTTGAGCAATTTAAAATTTTACGCGCGCATTAACGCGCGCGCCTACGCGTACGCGCATTTTTGCGCGCATTTATTGAACTCAAATTAACCCGACGGATATTGATCTTAATCTTGATAAATATGAATGTAAAATTACTTTCCGTTATGAAGATATGATCATAAGTTGATTTTCACAAAATGGCGCCTGGATGACGTCACGATGACTTTGAGTCTTTGAAAAGTCACGCAGTTCTAAGTTAGACTAAGATCTATCATCATTGAAAGATTCATGACAATGGCTTTATTCAGTCTTGAGATATCCTGCGAACAAAATCGAGGAAGAATAATAGGAAGAAGAAGAATAATAAAGAAAAATCTTGACGAAATCAATAGGTGATACGTAGACTTCGTTACGTATCACCTAATGATTCCGTCAAAATTTGCAATTTCAACTTTCGATTGAAAATTCCGACATGATCCCAACATCCGATGAAAAAACAAAGTACACCGTTTTTATAGCCCATGGTCTCAGCTATAACATACCCCAATTTGGGAGAAAACAGAGCACACATAAGATAGATAGTGCTCATAGATGAATGCCATGTAGATTCATGATGTGAACGAAATTCACCTTCCATAGACATAACACGCAAATGACGAAAATTCTGACATGTGGCCTTTAATTGCATTTTGTACTATGATGACCTCATTAAAATGAAACTTAGTGAAAAGTGATCTTGTAGAGAATTGCCTTATCTACAACATATCGACATTTCAAAGAGAATCGATGAATATTGAGAGAAATACACTACATTTTCCATAAATACAATGACGTCATAATATGCAATTTTGTATTTTTGACTTCCAAGGCCATTATGATGCCGTCAAGATGTACTTAATGGCCAAATGAGATATGAAATCATACCTCCGACTCATACTCTATCTAAATATGAAAAAAAAATTGGCAATCCCTATTCATCCCAATGGACTTTTCATAGGCATGTTTTTGCCCATATATGCAATGTATTACAAAAATCGCGCGTACGGACGGTTATCTTGAACGGACGCTCATTCCGTTTTTAATAGTGATAAAGAGCTAAACATGGTATCAAATTTTCCGGAAAAATATGAGGAATATTCGGTCAAGAGCTTTTGCGGAGAAATTATTTTTCGTTCGGCCGTGACGAACGAAAACGTGCAAAAATGCGTGTTTTGCGTGATTTTTTATGAAATGCTTAAAATGGCCTGAAACGTATGCAAAAAAAATTTAAGACGATTTTGAGCAATTTAAAATTTTACGCGCGCATTGACGCGCGCGCCTACGCGTACGCGCATTTTTGCGCGCATTTATTGACCTCATATTGATCCGACGGATATTGATCTTAATCTTGATAAATATGAATGTAAAATTACTTTCCGTTATGAAGATATGATCATAAGTTGATTTTTACAAAATGGCGCCTGGATGACGTCACGATGACTTTGAGTCTTTGAAAAGTCACGCAGTTCTAAGTTAGACTAAGATCTATCATCAGTGAAAGATTCATAACAATGGCTTTATTGAGTCTTGAGATATCCTGCGAACAAATTCGAGGAAGAATAATAAATAAAAAAAAAAATAAATAAAAATCTTGACGAAATCAAAAGGTGATACGTTGACTTCGTTACGTATCACCTAATTAAAGCAAATGTCAATTCTGAAATTGTATACTTCTGTCAAATAGGCGCAGCACCATTTGAGTCGCTTCAGGTTGCTGACATCGGGGACGTGACCCTTAACCTCTACGACCTGAAGAAATCTTGCGAGATGATTCGAGAGCAATATGCCACCATTGTTGCAAATGGATGCAAGCCCCTGACTCTAGGAGGGGACCACACTCTTACATACCCCATCCTTCAAGCAATTAAGGTATTACCTCTCCTTCAACTATACCCCCTCCCATTAAAGTTACTCAAGCTTGGGTATATAGAGGGCCGCATTCTGAGCCAACGGGTATTGCGCTCCTGTGCGTACTAGTGTCCCTAATATGCGTACGTCCGTACAGGAGCGTAAAACCTGTTGGCTCAGTGTTCACCTAGTTGCCTACTTGATTCAAAAATGCCTTGGAGGAACTGTATGTCCTTTGGCAAGGTATTAATCTACATTTTCCACATTCCACCCAGGTGAGTTGAAGTACGCATTACACACCTCAAGGGATGCAGAGACCGTGCCTTCTCATCCATCATGCTCTTCTTGTTTTTTGATCGCTCCCTTCCTCTCTTCATAAAATATTGACAGCCTGCATGGAGCACTTCTAAATATGCCTCAAATTACATGGCAAAAAAAGGAATAAAAGGGACAAGAATAGGGGGTTATATGACTCTTGTGCACCCTCCCCCATTAAATTGGCAGGTCACCAAGTACCGGTGACTTGTTTTTATATGTCTTTTACTTTTTCCTCCCATTTTCATTCTGTCAGTCTGTCTCTCTTCTCTTGCATACTCAATCTGTCTGTGTTCTCTCACATTTATCTTTTTTAAATATTTATTTACGCGCACCTTGTTCCTTTAGCTTTAGTTTAAATTGTCTGATTTCGACTATCGGTTCATTTTTGCGATGTTCTCTGACGAGTGCAAGACGAAAAGCTTCAGTATGTCTCTTTGATTTCCTTATCTTCTCTATCTAACTTTGTGAGAATACTTCTTTGTTTTTAAAGACTATAAATCTTACTACCTTTTAGGCCTATAATTCACAAGCATAGGTTTCACCATAGGCCCCTCAATATTTCAATGTTCTCCTAGTTCAGTCTTTTCAATTAATACTCACTGGAAACAAATTGATATGGGAAAGTCACCTTCTGTTCCTAAATTTGACAATAGAATTCATGTTTGTACCGTGTAGATTGTAAAATGAGAAAATATGAAACCATAAACCAAAACTAAACCGTTTTTAAATGTCTCTACCTTCACATCAGGATAAGTACGGCCCTGTAGGTCTGGTTCATGTGGATGCCCATGCAGACGTCAGCGACACAATGCTTGGTGAAAAGATAGCCCACGGTACTCCGTTCCGACGCGCCGTTGAGGATGGGTGCTTGGACTGCAAGAGGGTGGTCCAGATTGGTCTTAGAGGCACCCAGTATAGTCCCATCCCAGGAGTCAAAGGCTTTAATGAAGAAATGGTAATGTTCTTCTTTTTTTTTTTGCTTTGTTTTTTTGTTCCTTGCACCAATTCAAAGACAAAATGATATAAAAGCCTTTGCATTTAAAATCCTCCAGTCCTTATAACTACCTTTCAAAGCAGAGGAAATAGTAACCTGAATTTCCCTCTTCGTCCGTACACTTTCCATTTTATCCCATTTACCCGTCTTATGCAAAAAAATTCTTTCTAAAGACAGAGACAAACAAACAGCAACAAAGGGTCAGATTATTTAGTGACTGATCGATATAATTTTTAAAGGGATAGTTGAGTTTTATTGCAGAGGGCGTTACACAAAATATTTTTTTTGTGAGATAATGAAAGACCGAGTGTCAAATTTGAAAGAATATAAAATGTAATTGACAAAATCATCTTTGTTTGATCAAAATTGGTTCAGAGACAGCTGAAATATCCATAAATATAACCATTTTGGGGCCCCACAAATATTTGGTAATTTTGAACCAGCCGTTGAAAAATGAGACGTTATATTCCAGCCAATGCCAATGCTGGTTTTTTGTTTGCTTCTCCGTGTTGGTTATAATAGAAGACAACCAGCCGGCCTGTGTATTGTAAATATTAACGTCACCGTATTTTTTTAAAGCGGAGCTGAATTGGTATGACTGATTTAATATATATTTCACACATTTTGGGTGTCTAAATATGTATTTGTATTTGTTTACTCTTCCATCTCGCCCTATGTTAAAGGCGTCGTTTAACAATGTTAAATCTGAGATGCCTGGCCCTACGTGTTATTAGTGTCTGTGATATGGTGTAATATTGAAGCCCTTCAAAAAATTGCGGTTCAAAATGATCAAGAAGTGCCTCAAAAAAGGAAAAATCTTTGAGTGACTGGTTTTATCATACTTGTTTTCCCCAAAAGGCTGTAGTGCTATGAAAACCGTTAGGAAAACGCAAAAATTGATTTTGATTTCCAATCATAAATATCTTGAAACCAGACGGCCGATCGGCTTGTAAAGTCATGGGGTTCCTGACTGACCTAAGGCCAAATAAAAAAAAACATGTTTAGCGTCCTGCTTTTTTGAAAAAATAAGAAGGAGGAGGCCCTTTTTTTCTTCTTTCAAAATAGATCCATTTTAGCAGTGTTTTTCATGTTTTTTTCTTTAAAAAAAAAAATAGAGGAGGCGGCCCCCAAAAAGGAAGCGGGCAGGGACGCTAAACATGTACATTTTTTTTAATGGCCTAAAGGTTTATAATTATCATTGCAGCATAGAGCATGAGCTTAATCCAGGATTTTGTTTTAGAATCCGAGACAAAGTTACCCAATCCTTTTAATTACTATTTCTTCAAAATTTATTTTTTCAGGGCTTCAGAATTGTTCCTGCTGAAGAATGTTGGCACAAGTCGATGAACCCACTGATGGAGGAAGTCAGGGCCATGATGGGAGATGGACCCGTCTATCTGTCCTTCGATATTGATGGTATAGACCCAGGACTATGCCCTGGAACAGGTATGACATCTTGTTTATTTATTTATTATTTATTTATTATTTATTCGGCAATTCACAAGAAATATGACAATGTAAATATAGGTAAACAAACATTAAGAGAATGTCAATTATAAAAGCACAATCCTCCTGGAGGTCCTCTGAGTGCATCAGATGGCTGCCAGGGAAGAGGAAAGCAAACTAAATCACTGTAACCGTATTGGTCCCTCTTCCCGACCAACTGGTGCACCCAGAAGACCTGCAAAATATAGCATGAAGGTAATTAGAATGTATAACATTTCATAAACAAACCAGCTAACAAAAACAAAGCATTAAAGCCTGTATGTACTAGTTTGGCCAGGGGGGATTAGACCTCCCTGTAAGGTCACTGACAGGTGGTTATCTCATCAAATCAGCTCTTGATTAACATAAGAAAAAGGGGATCATGGGGGACCAACAGCCACCTATTAGGCATTGTTTGCTTTATAGAGGGCGCATGCAAGTAGCTATAGGTCGTGCAATGGGGCTTTAAACGCATTGACTACTGAGTTCTCCACTTCCCATAGGCTTAATACGGTGACCATCCGGTACCAGTACGCAATGGTTTAATGGTGTAAAGACATGAAGTAATTAAATTCAAGCCAAATGATCATGGCCCTTAATCTCAAAGGCCACTTAGCTTTAGGCTAGCTACAATCCTGTCTTAAGCCTCGTTCAAATATAAGGTTAACAGATTATTTGAAAGCAGCTACATTGGCCCGAATTCACAAAAGAGGATTAACTTGAGCATGCCTTGCGCGTGTCTGATATTGGCAACGCATTAATCTACATTCATCACTCCATACCCAGGAGATATATGGGGACCTGGTAGGATGTCAAAAGCCTTCGAGTGTTATTCTCGAAAGCGGAATAACTTTAGTCCATGGTTTATCCCACCGACTAAGTCTGGAATGCCAAGTGTCCATATACTGTATGTCCATAATTTAATCTGTGACTTAAGTAAAATAAAATGTAATAACTTAATTGATAAACAATAATATATCTATGATATAATTATGTTATCATGGTAGTTCAGGGACATATCAAATTATTCAAAAATATATTCATATGGACATTTGGCATTCCATACTTAGTAGGTGGATTAAACCATGGACTAAATTTAGTCCGCTTTTGAGAATACCACCCCTTGTGTTTAATAGCAATTGCAATACGCCCTCACGGTGACCATATGGTAGGACTACTCCCCAGGGAGTGGAGATGGTGCACATGGCGGGCGAATGAAACCAATGACGGGTAATAGCATCTGTAAAGCGCTTAGAGACGGTATTTCGTATTAATCGCTTAATAAATCCAGATTATTATTATGAACATCGTTATCTGGTTTTAGGTACTCCTGAGATTGGTGGTCTGACATCCATCCAAGCTATGGAGATAATCAGAGGATGTCAAGGTCTTAACCTTGTAGGTGGTGACCTTGTTGAGGTGGGTTCATAGATCTTAAAGGCATCGATCGTTTAACAATGTTAAATCTGAGATGCATGGTATCAGTGTTTGTGATATGGTATAATATTGAAGCCCTAAAAAAATTGCGCTTCAAAATTACCATGAAGTGCCTCAAAAGAGTAAAAATCTTTGAGTGACCAGTTATACCATACTCATTTTTTTCCAATAGACTGTATTGTTATAAAAACCGGAAGGAAAATGGTTTTTGAAATTTCAATTTCCAATCATAAATATCTTGATAATCAGACAGATCGACTTGAAAAAGTCATGGGGTTCCTGACTGACCCTAAAGGTTTATAATTATCATTGCAGCATGAGCTAAATCCAGGATTTTATTTCAGAATCTGAGACAAAGTTACCCAATCCCTTTATAGGTTTTATTCTTTAGAACATCAACGTAAACATAATACAAAATATGTGTTACATTTGTTATACAAAATAAACAATAATGCTGTTGAACACATGTATTACTTCAACTTTAGATAGATGGTGTAATTCATTATAACATGATATGTCATTAAAACATTTTTTGACAGAATGAAATACATCACAAGACACAACATGAAATTAAAAACCCATATTTCTTTGAAATCTTTGCACCATTAGTAATTTCACACATTACGAAACGCAGAAAAAAACCTATCAATATTTTGCCACTTTGTCATTTGCTTCTTGATTTTTTGTTTTTCCTCTTTGCAATGAAATCCTCAGTCGACTTGTATGACACAATATAATTTATCAAATTAAATTTACTTTTGCTCTAGGTTTCAACAGTGAACTAAAGCCCCAAGTTGACTGTATTACACTATGCCTTTACAGTTATGAGAGTTATTTGGTGTTGGAAGTACTGTAACAAATCAGGGTTTTAGTATTGGACGAAGGTTAAGCATTTTCTGTTGTACGAGCATGCGCTATAGCAATATGGTGCATCGTTGATTTAGCAATTACCAAACTGAAGGAAAATGAGCATAAATTACATATTTTGATCATGTTGGTGCAATTATCATGTTTCTTTTGGGGATATTACTTGTATAGTAGTGATCTAATCAGGAATAAGGGGTTATACTGAAGATTATATGTGAAGATTTTATGGGATTAGCAGAAATATTGTGTAATTGAAGTGTTTACTAACGAGGACATAATTGTTCTTTTACACGTTTATGTATAGGGAAATTGTTACGATGGTCAGGGTTGTGCATCTAGGGCTTTCCACTGCACTGTATCCGATACAGGCCAGCCTCACCGAGGCTGGCCTGATAGTTGGCCTGATAGTTGGCCTGATAGTTGGCCTGATAGTTGGCCTGGCCTAAGCCTCTAAGCTAAGTCTCGCATCGTTTGCACTGTACTTGTACTGAGTTTACCCGATTGTTGAATGGATCGCAATAAAGACTTTCAACCTACACATCATGATTGGTTTGATTTCTTGGAGCAGTGAAACCAAGGGACGAGAACCTGTGACAAGTGTTGACAAGGGAAATTGATTGCTCGAAGGATGCTCAATTGATTGATGCTGTGAACGAGACGTTTAGGTGACCGATTGTAGTCGATGGACGAATGATTGTTGAGATACGTGTGAGCAGTTAATAACTCCAGCCATTAAGCTACGGGCATATATTTTGTCCAAACGGACGGAGAGCGCCTGGCCGACACGGGGCATCCTGACAAATATTCCGTGTCAAGCCAAGGGGGCGAATCGTGTCCGTCACACATGGTGTCAGAAGTGGGATAGCTGATGGTGTGGAGTGGTCGAGTTGACGGAGCTGGAGGACGACGGCAGTAGCACTGACGGAGATGGGGGACCACGGGCGGTAAGTCTGATGGCGTCACAAGCTGGTAGAGCTGACGGAGCTGGGGGACGACAGGCAGTAAGACTGACGGCGTCACAGCTGGTTGAGCTGGGGGACGACGGGCTGTAGGTCTGACGATGTCACAAGCTGGTAGAGCTGACGGAGCTGGGGGACGACGGGCAGGAGGCCTGACGACGTCACAAGCTGGTAGAGCTGACGGAGCTGGGGGACGACGAAGGGCAGTAGGTCGGACGGCGTCACAGCTGGTCGAGCTGATGAAGCTTGGGGGCGACGTGCAGTGAGACTGCCGCGTCACAGCTGGTCGAGCTGAAGGAGCTTAATTGGGGGCAACGGGCAGTAAGACTGACTGCGTCACAGCTGGTCGAGCTGACGGAGCTTGGGGACGACGGGAGGTAGCATTGACGGTGTTGCGGCTGGTCGAGCTGACGGAAGTGTAGAACGACAATGGAGAGAAAGAACAATGAGCCCAGGGGTGCCTAGAAGGACAGGAAACGAACTAACTTTTGAACAGTTGAACACTTTTGGAAAGAGCCATTTTGAACTGTCAGAAAAGACTTGGATTTTAGTTTTGATTTGTTTTGTTGTTGTTGCATAAGTTATAGATAAGTTAGCTTGGGGACCAAGCTTGGGAGGGAAGGGAATCGTGTAACAAATCAGGGTTTTAGTATTGGACGAAGGTTAAGCATTTTCTGTTGTACGAGCATGCGCTATAGCAATATGGTGCATCGTTGATTTAGCAATTACCAAACTGAAGGAAAATGAGCATAAATTACATATTTTGATCATGTTGGTGCAATTATCATGTTTCTTTTGGGGATATTACTTGTATAGTAGTGATCTAATCAGGAATAAGGGGTTATACTGAAGATTATATGTGAAGATTTTATGGGATTAGCAGAAATATTGTGTAATTGAAGTGTTTACTAACGAGGACATAATTGTTCTTTTACACGTTTATGTATAGGGAAATTGTTACGATGGTCAGGGTTGTGCATCTAGGGCTTTCCACTGCACTGTATCCGATACAGGCCAGCCTCACCGAGGCTGGCCTGATAGTTGGCCTGATAGTTGGCCTGATAGTTGGCCTGATAGTTGGCCTGGCCTAAGCCTCTAAGCTAAGTCTCGCATCGTTTGCACTGTACTTGTACTGAGTTTACCCGATTGTTGAATGGATCGCAATAAAGACTTTCAACCTACACATCATGATTGGTTTGATTTCTTGGAGCAGTGAAACCAAGGGACGAGAACCTGTGACAAGTGTTGACAAGGGAAATTGATTGCTCGAAGGATGCTCAATTGATTGATGCTGTGAACGAGACGTTTAGGTGACCGATTGTAGTCGATGGACGAATGATTGTTGAGATACGTGTGAGCAGTTAATAACTCCAGCCATTAAGCTACGGGCATATATTTTGTCCAAACGGACGGAGAGCGCCTGGCCGACACGGGGCATCCTGACAAATATTCCGTGTCAAGCCAAGGGGGCGAATCGTGTCCGTCACAGTACATACATGTGTATAATTTACTTTGAAAGTTAAACTTTTAATCTCAGTACAGAATATTAACCACCACAATGTTATGTTCAGCTACAGCCTTCGTCAGTGATGTGGCCCGGAGGGGGAGGGGGAGGGGGAGGGGGGGGGGGGGTATTCAGATTTGGTCTGGACGGGGGTGTGCCACTCACGCCTCTAAACCCAATCCATTATTAGGTGGCATTTTTCTAGAAAACAGACCCATTTTTCACAATTTTCGGTTGTAGGAAAGTTTGGAAATTTTGTAATAGTATTCTTGTTAAAAGTTGGACCCATGTTTAGGGATTTTTTTGTGCAAAAGAGACTCATTTACATGAACCGTCGAATCCGTCCACTGAATTCTAAATCTTACTTTCGAGATAAACGCGTTTGAAAGTTTGACATTTTCCAACAGCGCTATAGCGCAATGTACGATAATTGCTATTGATAATTTTTAGATAGTGTGAATGCCTGAAACCAGCTTATAATCACCATATAAAAAACTATTCATAATTTTGAACGATCGTCGAGTAATGATAAAATAAGAATAATGATGTAATTCCGCACTACGCCTTTTCCACCGAAAGTGGCAAACGGAGCGCATTCGACGGTTCATAAAAACAGAAAGTGAATACGCGCAGCACAAAAGCGCTGAATGCGCATGGATTCGTCGGTTCATGCAACCGTTCTTGCTCGTTTAGTACACGCGCCCAATGCGGGTCATCGAACTTTTAATGTTGAACTGTTCGAGCTTACCTATCGAGTAATTTGGTTTTGGCCTACTACTTTCATTTTTCTTAATGAGACTTTAATTGATAAATGAATAATTCAGGAAATATCAGGACTTCATAAACATTTCCTTAATAGTGATCTCCCTTCAAATTTTGTTCCTTATAATATTGTTTCTGTTTCAATTTGTCTAATTAGCCGCCCTACCTCCCCCCCCCCCCCCCATCACATCTTGTTTCCCCAATCGTTTTCTATATAATTCATCTTTATATGGAGTTGAATTCAACCACTCATTGAATCATTGCATACTGCTTGGCCTCTCGATCATACCACTTCATTACATTCTTTATCCTCTTTGTGATTTCTCTTTCACTTTTCTGAATCAATTTTCGCTCACACACCCTCGTAATTTGGGTATTTTCATGATATAATTCCATTTCCAACACTCCTACCTGATTGTATACCATCTCTCTTCAAAGACCTTGATTTATATGAACTAAATTTAACCATAAACTAAACACATTATTGATATCGGGCTTGACATGTAGCATCTAGCTACTTCTAGTATAGGAAATAATCCTGAACTGAAGTTTGTAACCCCTTTTCCTGAAGTATGACAGGTAGATTACTACAATTATGTTGAAACATTGTATATATATGTTATCAAATAATAACTAAACACAACTAAATTATATTTTCACATCTAAACTTTATTTGACATCAATATTAAACACACTAGATAAAGCTTATTTAATAATCAATTATCACAAATTACAACTCTTTGAGTTATAACAACTGTGGCATTGATACCACTGACGATTGTAGTGCGAGATAATCTAAAACACATCATAATCCTATATATTTAGGTAAAGTAACAGGACAATTTTTGAGTGTTACACATATTTGATGAATAAAATAAATTCAATTCAAATCATGCGCCATTCAGTGTACTTATTTTCTTGGGCTACATCATGAATTCAGCACAAGTTACATAATATTATCATGAGATTCAAAACGATTTGAGTAAAGGTCAAATAAAGCTCTGCATTAAAGTGAACTGGTAACAATGTTCATGATTTCACAAGCAGTGAGCTGAAATAACAAGCCAGAAAGTTTAACTTTTCCAGTTCAAATCAGCTGCTGACCTGGTATACTATACCTCATATTGTCCAATAGGTAATGCACAAGAACAATGGTTTTCATGAAACCATTTAACACTATTCACACATATATTTTAAGTGAAGATATGTTTTTTGAAATTATTTGTATTTACAGTGCGTTATTCCTTCATCAAAAGTTTTAGAAACAGTATCACGATTTCAAAAAACTCTCTAATACAATGCCGCCAGTTCACTAATTGTTATTAAATGCCCCTTGTCAATGCCCCTTTTGGTAACTTTGCCTTGAACTTGTACTGATCTTCAATACCTAATATAAATAACCACTTAAAGAGGTAATGTTCAACACAGTAAGGGCTCAACACGATGTATGATCATGAACCCAACACTATACATAAGCCCATTAAGCCGGCACCCATTGGCACCAAAACAAATTGAACATCCTTGCCCAACTGTCAGCTATTGTAGCTTTAACCAGATGTGACAGCTTGAAATATTCTATTTTACAATAGTGGGCAAATAGCAAAAGATAATCAAAATAACTTGGATATGAATCATAATTACAACATGCAAGCATGCTCCATGGTTGTAACCATAGAATCATGAAAGGTTTTACATTCATTTGCATCAATTTATTGACAATTAAATTAGGCTGAATCTTTTATATTTTTCATTCATCACTTTGCTATTTATAATTATGAAATTCTTAACCTTGAAATCTTGATGTTCTTACAGGTGTAATAATAATAATATTCTGCTTTTATATAGCGCATGATACATCAATAAAACGATGTGTCTAAGCGCTTTACAGATATATATATCATTACCTAGTCATCGGATTTAGGCTTGCCCGCACACAATGTATGCACGTTCTCCACTCCCTGGTGAGCATTCCGCCCAGTCCCCATTTTACAAACGCACACTTGCTCATCCAACTACATTAACTTTTGCATCCTACCGGGTACCCATTTAACACCTGGGTGGAGAGTGACAAATGTAGATTAACATCTCGCCAAAGGACATTAGTGCTGCAGCAGAACTTGAACCCTGTACCTTGTGATGTGCAGTCGGATGACTTATCCACCAGACCACAACACCTCTATAAGTAAAGTTGAGTTATCACATTCCTGGAATCTGGTGGTACATGTACAAGAGATTGCAGCACAAAGCAAGTTCAGGACATCTCCACCTGAAAATAAAATAAAAAGATATAGATATAGGCATAAATAAAATAGACAAAAAATCAAACTGCATGTGATGTCTTGCCTGCACCTCGCAATTTGCCTATTAAGTATGAACACTTCCAATTGATATCTATAAGAAATTTGGTAGCATTCGGCCAAGTTGACTTAAAACAGGTGAAATGACCAACCACTGGATGGCAACACTATTCATTCACTAAAACATAATTGATTTTTGATCTTGGTGATGAAAGTCTTCCTCATAATTTTTGGGTGCAGGTTTAATGAAATTTGGACATATACTTTTGAAATGAGAATTTAACAAAGGTTATTGTTTTAAGCAAAATATAACACAAGTGACCATAATTTACCTTTGACCACGACCTTGGATATGAAAATTCTTCCACATAATCTACATGTATGATCCTTAATTATGACAAGTTTCATCAAATTTCTTCCACATAATAAAGTGATGCTTGATAATAGGCCATTTTTGTAATGTAACCAAATTTAATGCATAAGTCTTTGTGAAGTGCCTCAATACATGTTATTTCATTCACCTGAAAAGAATAATAGTATTTCAATAGACAGAATCCGAACTGAACACATTAGTTGTTGCCAGGTTGGACAAACATTATGGCTTGACCTACCTAGCAACACTAAATATATGCAGTTTGTCTCCTGACTATTGAAATACTATCATTCTTATAAGGTGAATGAAATAACTTGTACTGAGGCACTTCACAAAGACTTATGCATTAAATTTGGTTACATTACGAAAATGGCCTATTGCTATGTGCAATTTTCATCAAATTTGGACATAACCTTTTGAAATGAGAGTGATTTTTAATTTTTGATGCCGCGGTACCTATGTCTCACTCTAGCTATGCAGACAAGACAAAAAAATCTTCAGAGAATCGTGACAATTAAATAATGACTCTGTAAATCACTCTGCTATCACAATTATTCTTTTGTTGAACAAACAAGACATAAAGAAGACATAAAGAAGAAAAAAAGGTCAAACTGAATTACTTACCAGATCACACAGCACTCTTCACCAGAATGCAGCTAAAGGTCATGCCAGGATTTCTGTGAGAAACTTCCAACTATCTATTGCTGGAAAACAAATGAAAATTTTCAAAAAAAATTAATTATTTGCCAAGTTGACCCGGCCGGGTCTTGTCATAGATTACAGTTGAATTCATAAACATACCGTTTCACTGGTTCTGAGATAAAAATTGGATAACTCGTATAAAGTAATTCCATAAATTTCGCCTTTGGAATTACGTAATTTAAATTTTAAAAACTTTACATAGAAAAGAAATATGTATTTTTTTATCAAAGCTTTGATAATTTTCCTTCTGTCTGATTTTTTATTTCAATTAGATCTAAATCAAGAAAAATGGGGGAGAAATTTTTTGTACCAGAACTTCCAGAAGTAGTACAAAATTGGTAGCAATCGATCAATCTACCCCCATTGTGCGAGCTGTAAAAAGTACTGTCTACATGGGAAATGTTGGCAAAAGTCTGTTTTATTAAAGAATGACCCATACCAGACGGTTATTTCTGTCTAACCCAAACCATGCTAACCCAATCCTGACCTAAACTGAAGTAGTCTTACATTCTTAATAATCACCAACCTAGACCGAAAAATCAGGTCAACGTCGCTATTGATAAGGACCGCTATTCATAAGGGCCGCTATTCATAAGGCTGCTTTTCATAATTTGAGAAAAGGGTTTCTATTCATAATACTAGAAAAGGGTCGCTATTCATAAACGACAAGAGGGTCGCTATTCATAACACAAAATGAGGGTCGCTATTCATAATACGGAATGAGGGCCGATCGCTATTCATCAGGATCATTATTCATAATCGAAGAAGAGGGTCACTATTTATAACACGAGAAGAGGGTCGCTATTCATAATACAAGAAGAGAGTCGCTATTCAGAAAACGAGGAGAGGATCGCTATTCAGAAATTTTAATGAGGGTCGCTATTCATAATAGGAGAAGAGGGTCCCTATTCATACAAAAATGAAAGTCAGATAAGCAATAAACAAAATGATAATAAAAAAGCAAAATGGTTAGGGGACACCCCACGACTGTGGCATGGGTGCAGGGGCGGGGGGGGGGGGGGGGGGGGGGGGGGGGGGGGACGTCACATGGCCCCGAATATTTGTAGAAAATATTCATTGAAAACATACATTTTTTTTAAAAGAAAAAAAAGGCATGCCCCAATAAGATATGTGACCCATCATCCCGGGCCCTAGCCCCCTCCCCCCCCCCCCCCCAATCAGTCTGACCAAGCTGCACGATTCGGCCCACCCACCCTGAAGTATTTCCTTGGTACAAGTGCATATTGTCGACAATTCTCGTCCAAGTACATGTAGTTCATAGATGGCGTAGCCTGTGTGTGTTTCATTGGGGGAGGGGGTGGTGGGGGTGTAGCACCGTTGGCATCAAGGGGCTGATCTAACATATCCCTAATCCTCAGCAAAGGAAGGAAGCGACAGAGAGGGGGTTATAGGGACTTAAGTTGTATACTATATTCAAGCTTTTCGTAAATAAACAATATTACAAGTAAGGAGGATTTTCAAGATTTTAAGCCATATAAGATACGATTTTGTGACCTTAAGGCATTATGGGAACGATGGCCTCCCCTGTATCATGTCTTTTTAAAAGCATATTTTTCTTTTCAGCTTTGATAATTATATAGACATCCCCATAATCTAGCTAATATATTTGCCCAGCTCCAGTGGGGACAAGAGAAAGGAAAACAAAACACACCCATAATCCTATTGTAATTTGTCCCCTTTGTGGGAAATCTTGCTCCCCCTACCCCCCCCCCCCCCCTCAAATGAGAGTCAAACTTATGAACATTTATTTTGGTGACAATTAAGACGATACATTTTACAATGAAACCACCTCATCCCCCCCCCCCCCCCCCAAAAAAAAAAAAATTAAAAAAAAATAAAAAATAAATAAATAAATAAATAAAAAAAATAAAAAATAAATAAATAAATAAATAAAAAAAAAAATAAAAAATAAATAACTATAAATGTCCAATATCTGACTGTCCGAGTTGTCATCATATAGGCGTAGGTGGCATGGGGGTGGAGGGTGGGGCTGGATATTTCATAATTAAAATTAAAATGTTATTGATTTAAAAAGAATTTGTGAATGTATGGAGAGAAAAGGTGAGTAGATCTACACAAATCACAGACCAATTAAGACTGTTGCAGTTTGTCTCAGTATCATCAGGACAGAGCCATTACCAATACCAGCCAGGCCCCTATTTCTATTAGTTATTAGCGTTCCCGCACAGAAATTGTACCCATGACATTGTGCACATAATTTTTGGAATAGAATACTCATCTTTCTATTACAATAATATCAAAACAAAACAAAAGGCAAGGGATTCAAAAAATGAATGGTGCCACAATTATTTGCATACTAAGTTAACTAGCACTAACAGTAGTTAGATCTAAATCTAGACAAAATCTAGTCACTAATTTCAAAGTTAAACTCATAGTCTTAAAGCACCCTGACACTTCCACGATACTGGTTTGCGCATGGTTTGCCCATTGTTTCATGTCACGTTTTTGCCATAACAGGAAGCGTTTGCGGAACATGCTGGAGGATGATCGAGGCTGATGCGGGACAAAGCTTGAAATTTGTGGCAGAATTTTCAAAATGTTTAAAATTTTGGCACAACAAATTTGGTGGACGTCTTTCGTGAACACTTCAGGAATTATGAGTATCCTATACGTATTCTACCTGTGTCCATACTGACTGGTGCGTGCCAATGCCCCGAGTGACACGCATGTTTACGACTAGTTCACGATGGATTTACGAATAAATTGCTCATAATTTGTGCATCGGCTGCGGATACTTCCCGCAGTTTTCACATTACTTGCGCACTGTCTACGCACAGAAAACTAAGGAAAACAGGAAAAGAAAAAGTGACCGCTGAAAGCATCTTCTCCTTCTTCTTCAAGATAATCTGCCTCCTTCAATACTGAAGATTCTTGCAGATGCCGTATACTCGGCCTGATTGGGGTGTGCAGGTGGACCATTACACCGGTGTTTCCCCCTACTCTTATACGAAAAGTGCAATGGGTTCTTAACGTGCAAGGGTGGTGACTCTTTTGTACACGGGACCTCCATTTAACGTCCTATCCGAGGGACGGAGTGTTTTCCACTTGACATAACCTGCGTCTATGAACAAGGGAAGGGGCACATTAACACACAATGCAGACATCAGTCATCCGCCTCGGTGGGAGTCGAACCCGGGATCTTTGGTTCGACAGGCAGACGCTTTACCGACTGAGCCAACTCGCCTCCTCACTGCTTGAATAATAATGGCGTGAACAATATTTAAGTATGGCGTATATGCAGGAATAAAAATTTGTGGAAGTTTCAGGGTGGCTAAACTCTTATTTGACTTAGTCTAAACTCTAGTTTAAAATAAAATGAATAGTAGATTCTAGTGAGTGACAACCATGACCAACACCATGCATGCATAGATCTAGTACAATTAATTTCAACAGTTAATAGTCTACCCATATTTTTAAAAAAATAGGGAAATGATAACACATTAGACTTAGATTTAAGATTCATAGTAGAGTCTACGAACAATCGTCCGTCTCGACTTGGACCTATATTGTCCATTGTCCATTGAAATTGATTTTATCTAAATCTCTAGATTTACTAACATCTAAATCAACAGGTGGGACAATCAGAGTTTTGAGTTCGAAATATCTGCTTAAATGTGTTATAAATTGATATAATTTAAGCAGCGACTTCAGATTTTCATTAAATTCATGCATCTAATCTCATAAAAGTCCAACTAGGTACACGAAACACAGTTTACTTACCAATTTTTACATCCCGTTCAGACGATGCTACAGATTCGACGGTTCATCGTCGCTCCTTGAATCTGGCGACCTGGGGCTCGTTCCTAGAAACCAACGACAAGACAGTCATAACTTTATCCGCCAACTACGGAGTGTCTCTGATCTTCCTAAACCGTTTCACGAAGAGCTTACTAGCTAGTATCTCGTGAGATCGATATTATCGGCGAGAAGAGGAGCCGAGAATTAGTCTTAGTCGCAATACCACCAGATTATTACAAAATTAATATTAGGGAAAATGCAATTATTTAAATGAATTAGTAATAAAAAAGATTGAAAATGATACCAAGAAATAAGAGATCCAATATACTTCCAAATTTGTGTAGATTAAACAATTGAAGTACTTGTAAAATATAATTGTGAGTTTTTCATTACATGACCAGTGAATCAGTTTTGTTGTTGAGATGGGCACCCCCCGAATATTTTCATTTGATAGTTTATAAAAATACACCCTTATATTATTCTTTGAAAAAATACGATGTAATGAAATTTGTGTTCAATGTTTTTGACGTCAGCACAATATAAAAATTACAAAACTTCAATATTTCAAACGTTAAAACATATGTTTAAACCATTCACTTTACATAATTGAAAATAGAATTCATCTCGAAATTAATATGGGTCTGAAAACTAAAGAATACACTTCAAACTATGGCTTGCCTGCCGTGGCAAAATACATATCCCTTCGACGAGTTTACAATGTGGAAATAAAGGCGTATAATCAGTTTATTTAAGTGGAAAAATCCTTAAATACAAACATGGCATATTTTCAAGAGATTATCAAATACAAAAAACGATAATTCACTGTTTAAGTGAATGTGTAGAAAAATCATAGTTGGAGGATTTATTGTCCTTTTTGCCAGCCATAGTCTACCCAATAAATGACATGTGATGGCGCTGCCCATCGACTAAATAGTTATGACAGAGATACGACGGTGTCAGAGGTGTCATAACTCCTTAGTCAGGATGTTGTCGTTGATCTTGGCAAAGAGGGCTTGGTGAAACACGTAGCGGACAAGTTGTTCACTAACGCTGATTTAGTCAAGAAGTTAGACTTATGACGGTTTGTAGGAACGGGCCCCACAAGTTCAGCGACCAATTACGGTGTCTTCAAAAGGGTAAAACAGAAAAGGAAAAAAAGAAAACAAATATCGCTCATTCTCTTTAGATGCTTCTCGCCAGAAATTATTATATTTGTCTTCTAGTTCAAAATAATATTACCAATGTAATGATTAATGTCAATTGCCGGAGCAAGATGTCTGGACCTTACTGTTTAACTCTATATCGGCTCTGTATTCCGAAAAAAGTCGAACCGTCCGCACAATAGATTCATATCCATTTCAAGCAATTCAAAATGAAGTGCCCAACTGTCAGGGCACTTTAATCTTTGGCCGATATTTTGTATTATTATGTGATTAAATATTCTAAAATATGTGATTTCAAACTTTCTGGTGGTATAGGTCAATTACCGGAGCCAGATGTATGGACATTACTGTTTAACTCTATATCGGCTCTGTATTCCGAACATTCCGCACTATAGCTTCATATCCCTTTCAAGAAATTCAAAATGAGTTGCCTCGCTGTCAAGGCGCCTAAATCTTTGGCCGACATTTTTTATTCTTAGCCGATTAAATATTCATAAAGAAGGGATTTTCACCTTTCTGGTGGTATAGGTCACTTGCCGGGGCAAGATGTCTGGACCTTACTGTTTAACTTTAATATCTGCTCTTAATTTGAAAATGTTCGGTTTTTCCGAACAATAGCGTCATATCCTGTTAAAATAGCATTCCAAAATAAGATGCCCAGATGTCACGACGCCTAAATCTTTGGCCGACATTTTTTATTCTTAGCTGATTACATATTCTTAAAGAGGGGATTTTCAGCTTTTTGGTGGTATAGGTCACTTGCCGGAGCAAGATGTCTGGACCTTACTGTTTAACTTTAATATCGGCTCTGTATTTTGAAAATGTTCGGTTTTTCCGAACAATAGCGTCATAATCCACGTTAAAATAGCATTCCAAAATAAGATGCCAAAATGTCAGGACGCCTAAATCTTTGGCCGACATTTTTTATTCTTAGCTGATGACATATTCTTAAAGAGGGGATGTTCAGCTTTCTGGTGGTATAGGTCACTTGCCGGAGCAAGATGTCTGGACCTTACTGTTTAACTTTAATATCGGCTCTGTATTTTGAAAATGTTCGGTTTTTCCGAACAATAGCGTCATATCCCGTTAATAGCATTCCAAAATAAGATGCCCAAATGTCACGACGCCTAAATCTTTGGCCGACATTTTTTATTCTTAGCTGATGACATATTCTTAAAGAGGGGATGTTCAGCTTTCTGGTGGTATAGGTCACTTGCCGGAGCAAGATGTCTGGACCTTACTGTTTAACTTTAATATCGGCTCTGTATTTTGAAAATGTTCGGTTTTTTCGAACAATAGCGTCATATCCCGTTAAAATAGCATTCCAAAATAAAATGCCCAAATGTCAGGACGCCTAATTCTTTGGCCGACATTTTTTATTCTTAGCTGATTACGTATTCTTAAAGAGGGGATTTTCAGCTTTTTGATGGTATAGGTCACTTGCCGGAGCAAGATGTCTGGACCTTACTGTTTAACTTTAATATCGGCTCTGTATTTTGAAAATGTTCGGTTTTTTCGAACAATAGCGTCATATCCCGTTAAAATAGCATTCCAAAATAAAATGCCAAAATGTCAGGACGCCTAATTCTTTGGCCGACATTTTTTATTCTTAGCTGATTACATATTCTTAAAGAGGGGATTTTCACCTTTCTGGTGGTATAGGTCACTTGCCGGAGCAAGATGTCTGGACCTTACTGTTTAACTTTAATATCGGCTCTGTATTTTGAAAATGTTCGGTTTTTCCGAACAATAGCGTCATATCCCGTTAATAGCATTCCAAAATAAGATGCCCAAATGTCAGGACGCCTAAATCTTCGGCCGACATTTTTTATTCTTGGCTGATTACATATTCTTAAAGAGGGGATTTTCAGCTTTTTGATGGTATAGGTCACTTGCCGGAGCAAGATGTCTGGACCTTACTGTTTAACTTTAATATCGGCTCTGTATTTTGAAAATGTTCGGTTTTTCCGAACAATAGCGTCATAATCCACGTTAAAATAGCATTCCAAAATTAAGATGCCAAAATGTCAGGACGCCTAAATCTTTGGCCGACATTTTTTATTCTTAGCTGATTACATATTCTTAAAGAGGGGATGTTCAGCTTTCTGGTGGTATAGGTCACTTTCCGGAGCAAGATGTCTGAACCTTACTGTTTAACTTTAATATCGGCTCTGTATTTTGAAAATGTTCGGTTTTTTCGAACAATAGCGTCATATCCCGTTAAAATAGCATTCCAAAATAAAATGCCCAAATGTCAGGACGCCTAATTCTTTGGCCGACATTTTTTATTCTTAGCTGATTACGTATTCTTAAAGAGGGGATTTTCAGCTTTTTGATGGTATAGGTCACTTGCCGGAGCAAGATGTCTGGACCTTACTGTTTAACTTTAATATCGGCTCTGTATTTTGAAAATGTTCGGTTTTTTCGAACAATAGCGTCATATCCCGTTAAAATAGCATTCCAAAATAAAATGCCAAAATGTCAGGACGCCTAATTCTTTGGCCGACATTTTTTATTCTTAGCTGATTACATATTCTTAAAGAGGGGATTTTCACCTTTCTGGTGGTATAGGTCACTTGCCGGAGCAAGATGTCTGGACCTTACTGTTTAACTTTAATATCGGCTCTGTATTTTGAAAATGTTCGGTTTTTCCGAACAATAGCGTCATATCCCGTTAATAGCATTCCAAAATAAGATGCCCAAATGTCACGACGCCTAAATCTTTGGCCGACATTTTTTATTCTTAGCTGATGACATATTCTTAAAGAGGGGATTTTCACCTTTCTGGTGGTATAGGTCAGTTGCCGGAGCAAGATGTCTGAACCTTACTGTTTAACTTTAATATCGGCTCTGTATTTTGAAAATGTTCGGTTTTTTCGAACAATAGCGTCATATCCCGTTAAAATAGCATTCCAAAATAAAATGCCCAAATGTCAGGACGCCTAATTCTTTGGCCGACATTTTTTATTCTTAGCTGATTACATATTCTTAAAGAGGGGATTTTCAGCTTTTTGGTGGTATAGGTCACTTGCCGGAGCAAGATGTCTGGACCTTACTGTTTAACTTTAATATCGGCTCTGTATTTTGAAAATGTTCGGTTTTTTCGAACAATAGCGTCATATCCCGTTAAAATAGCATTCCAAAATAAAATGCCAAAATGTCAGGACGCCTAATTCTTTGGCCGACATTTTTTATTCTTAGCTGATTACATATTCTTAAAGAGGGGATTTTCACCTTTCTGGTGGTATAGGTCACTTGCCGGAGCAAGATGTCTGGACCTTACTGTTTAACTTTAATATCGGCTCTGTATTTTGAAAATGTTCGGTTTTTCCGAACAATAGCGTCATATCCCGTTAATAGCATTCCAAAATAAGATGCCCAAATGTCACGACGCCTAAATCTTCGGCCGACATTTTTTATTCTTGGCTGATGACATATTCTTAAAAAAGGGATTATCATCTTTCTGGTGACATAGGTCACTTGCCGGAGCAAAATGTCTGGACCTTACTGTTTAACTTTAATATCGGCTCTGTATTTTGAAAATGTTGGGTTTTTCCGAACAATAGCGTCATATCCCGTTAATAGCATTCCAAAATAAGATGCCCAAATGTCACGACGCCTAAATCTTCGGCCGACATTTTTTATTCTTGGCTGATGACATATTCTTAAAAAAGGGATTATCATCTTTCTGGTGACATAGGTCACTTGCCGGAGCAAAATGTCTGGACCTTACTGTTTAACTTTAATATCGGCTCTGTATTTTGAAAATGTTCGGTTTTTCCGAACAATAGCGTCATATTCCTTCAAAATAGCATTCCAAAATAAAATGCCCAAATGTCAGGACGCCTAAATCTTTGGCCGACATTTTTTATTGTTAGCTGATTACATATTCTTAAAGAGGGGATTTTCAGCTTTCTGGTGGTATAGGTCACTTGCCGGAGCAAGATGTCTGGACCTTACTGTTTAACTTTTAGCTGTAATTAATGTGTCACATTTTAAAGAAACATAAATCAGGAGAAAAAAAATCACATTCTTAAAAACGACCTAACTTTAATGGTAAGGGTATGATTATATATAAATTAGTTGTTAATTGTATGTATTTTCAACGGCTAAAAAAGGCTTTGAGCTTTGAAACTTACCTCAGTGTAGTGGGCACAGAGTGCGGAACAGGTGTTGGTTTCGAAGTCATAATCAGCCTTCTCGTTATTCCACGAATCCATTATAGAATCAAGAGTGCCGGCATACACCTGGGCGATGTTCTGGCCTACACTACTAAATTCTGTTACCAGACTTCGGAAGTTAAAGCCGAAGTCGCATCGGTTAGAACACCTCTGCGCAAGACCTGCAAGGTCATGGCTCCATTGCTGTAACCAGAGAACGAGGCAATATTAGGATACTTTATTTTTCATTTATGCCGCGTCATTGAAAGTAAATGAGGTTTTAAAAAAAGTATAAAGATTGATACAAACAAAGATCGTTGGCGTACGCAGGATTTTTTCAAGGGGGGAGGGGGGGGGTTAAAATTTTGAAATCGGGCTGAAAATTTCGCAACGACTCAGCCAGCCGCTGCATAAGCGGGGGGGGGGGTAAGGTCACCTTTTTTAGGTCAGCCATTGGCATAATTTTTAAATATTTTTTTAAATAATTAAAAAAAAACCCAACCAAAGGGGGGGGGGGTTCTTCCAAAATACACACATAAAAAATACCAAGGGGGGGGGGGTTCAACCCCCCCCCCCCCTGCGTACGCGCCTGACAAAGATTACATATCGAAAATAATATCGCTAGTGATATTTGTTTGTCTCGCAATGTATGGTCAACAAGGGATCTAAAATAAGCGAGCGTGTTTTATATTCTACGGGCGGACCGTCGGTCAAATAATTCGAATAATAACGTCGTGATCTTTTAGATCCCCTGTTGACCATAACATTGCGACAAACGAATATAACTAGCGATATTATTTTCGATACTACATCCGCAATGAATAATATATATATATTTTTTTAATTACATAATTGCATTGTTCAAAGTTATATGAAAGAATACATTCACCAAAAATGACAAATTAAGGAACAGAAATGGGATAAGAAATGAAAAAGATTAATTCAACATATTGCACAAAATGATAATAAACTCTAGACATCGAAACTCTTACATGTACATTTTTTCACACTTCACTTTTAAAGGGCCCTAAGGCGGCCCCTGGATGCTCATCTGATCGTAATTTAATGCCTAAAACCCCTGAGCTTCTGGGAGCTCCACCCCCTGGACCCCACTCCAATTAGTGACCTGCGTTTCAGTGCATGTCACAAATAAGGTACCAAAATATGCTCATCTAATCGTAATTAAATGCCTAAAACCCCTGAACTTCCAGGGGCTCTGTTTAATGAATATTTTTGTAATATTGGTCCGAATCTGAAAAAAAATATTCCAAACAGTCAAACTGATTTTCATGAATACTTAGGAGAACCTAACATGCAAAATTTATTTCTGGTGCCCACAAATGACGAAGAATTGCTTGGTATTGTTAGAGCCCTCAAGAACAAGAAAAGTCCTGGGTATGATCATATTGGGAACGAACTTATTAAGCAAGTTATTGTCGGTATCCTTTAACCACTAGTTCATGTTTTTAATTTGTCTATGTCAAGCGGAGTTGTACCGATAAACATGAAGATCGCAAAAGTTGTACCAAGTTTTAAAAAAGGTGACTCTCAATTACTGACAAATTATCGTCCGATTTCTTTGTTAACCTGTTTTTCAAAAATTCTGAACAAAATTATTTTAAACAAAACATGTGTCTTCAGTAATTATCAGTTTCGTTTTCGGGAGAAGCATACAACAACGCATGCAATTGTACACCTTATAGATAAACTTGCTTCTGCCTTAGTCGCTTACACACCATCGGTACATTTTTAGACTTTTCCAAGGCCTTTGATACTGTAGACCATGAAATTCTCTTAAGTAAATTATGTCATTATGGTGTCAGGGGAGTCGCCTTGGATTGGCTTAGAAGTTATATTACTGATAGAAAGCAATATGTGTCCCTAACATGGAATTGACTCTAGCCCCCCCCCCCCAAAAAAAGTAACATGTGGTGTTCCCCAAGGATCCATTTTGGGACCACTTTTATTCATCTTGTATATTAATGATTTTCAACGCTCATCAAGTGTATTATCATTCATATTTTTTGCTGATGACTCAAGTGTATTTTTTTCTCATAAATGTCCACAAACATTGTTGAAAACTGATAATGAAGAGTTTCGAAAAGTAATGAAGTGGATTAATGCTAATAAGTTATCCTTGAATCTTCAGAAAACTAATTATATACTGTTCAGTAATTCAGTTAAGTGGCATTTAATAATAACCCAATTGAGAGAGTTACTTCAACAAAATTTCTTGGGATATCCATAGATGAAAAACTGAATTGGAAAAATCATGTAGACAAATTAAGTAAAGTGGTGTAAAAAAATACTGGTGTTATTTATAAGTTGAGATCATGTATACCTCAAGAGGTATTGTTCATTTTGTACTCTACTCTTATTTTATCATGTATTAATTATGGTATGTTAGCATGGGGCAAATCATCCAAAACTCAAATCCACAGGCTTTTCGTTGTGCAGAAGCGGGTTATCAGAATAATTTGTAAAGCGAATTATCGTGCACATACATATCTACTTTATTATGAAAACGGTATTCTAAAACTAAAAGATCTCTATTCAATGCAACTTGGAATGCTCATGTTTAGCATTCACTCTGGGGACCTCCCTCCTGCCCTTGCTCAAATCTTGAGAAGAAATAACCAAATTCACACCTATAATACTAGACAGGCTTCTGCTCTCCATTTACCATATGTAAGGACAACCTTCACTCTGAATACACTAATGTCCACTGGCCCCAGGTTCTGGAATTCACTTGATACTACTATAACAAATACTTCAAGTATCTCAGTTTTTAAACGTAGACTTAAGTCATATTTTCTTCACAAGTATGTCGATGACACATGAATGTGTTATAAAGCTTCATTTTTTGTGTACTGTAGCATATTTAACTCTACTCATGATCTTTTTTTCGTTAATTCTTGACTTTGACATAATCCCCTTGATCCCTTTTCTTTTTTCTTCTTCTTTCCCATCTTTACATATACCATATAACTCATTGATGTCCATATTAGATCGCCTTCCAATGGGTGGGTTGATTTTTGCACATAATTATGATACATATTTTCACACACACGTTGAGTTTGTGAGCTCACCCGGTGTGATGGGGATGTGCGTTGTGGTCGATGCATCGTTGGGTAGTTGTTCTTTGAGAGTATTTTGTAAATAATTTTATAGTTTTGGCGTTTCGTTATTATTAGAGAAAGTAGACGATTCGTTGAACCTTGCTCGACTCTAAATCCTTGTCTGAATCAAGCCTCCCCTTCCGCGTATAGCGCGGAAATTTTGACGTTTCATTAAATTATTAGAGAAAGAAGACGATTCGTTGTACTGTTCTCGACTCGTCTACATGAAGTTTTCTCTCTTCGCGCGAAGCGCGGAATTTTAGGCGTTTCATCACAATATAGAGAAAGGAAGACGATTCGTCGTACCGTTTTCGATTCTTATTACTCCCTATTCAATTAAATTCAGTTTCCCCCTCTCGCGTGAAGCGCGGAAGCTTTGGCGTTTCATTAAATTATTAGGGAAAGAAGACGATTCGTTTGTACCGTTTTCTAATCTTAATAAGCCCTATTTGATGCACTGTTTTCGACCCTTAATTCTTATCTGAATAAAGCTTCCACCTCCCGCGCGAAGCGCGGAAGTTTTGACGTTTCATTAAATTATTAGAGAAAGAAGACGATTCGTTGTACCGTTCTCGACTCGTCTAAATGACGTTTTCCCCTTCCGCGCGGGGGGGGGGGGGCGTTTCATCACAATATAGAGACAGGAAGACGATTCGTCGTACCGTTGTTGACTCTTAAACCTTGTTAGAATTTAGTTTCCCCGAAAATTTTAAACCTCTGATTTCTTTAGCTGATATTATAGGAAAGTGAAACTTCGAGAAAATACAAGTATTGTAGTTGTAGTCACTCTCGAAGTCGTCACAGCGGATAAAATGTCACAGTTCGTAGGGAGAAAACTTGTCGGCCGACCAACAATATACATCTCACCAACTTCAAAATTCTGCATTGATATAGTACACGAGGATCGAGCAAGAATACCGACACAGCTGACCCGACATAGCAACATATTTACCCGTGTCTTTCTTGCTCCCTCGACGAGACGACTCCACCCAACAACCCCTGCTCTCTTTTACTCCCACTCCTCCTCTCTCAGGCTCTTACCTCTCCTCTCTCTCCTCTCTTTCACCCCCGTTTCTTTTGTTTCCCTTTTTACTCTCTTTTCTTTCTTTTCCTTTCTTGCCTCTCCTCGCTCTTTTTCTTTTTTCTCTTTCTTTCTTCTCTTTTCTTTCCTTTCTTTTTTCCTTTCTTTCCTTTCTTTCCTTTCTTTTCCTTTCTTTCTTCTCTTTTCCTTTTCTTTTTTCTTTTCTTTCCGTTTCCCTTTCTTTTTCCCTCCCCCTTTTCTCTTTTTTTTCCGACGGCAGCGCAATTTTACCGACAATATCCTGACAGGTGGGAGGGGGGGGTGTCGCATCCCCCACACCCCGCCCTTTTGCGACGCCCCTGCTGGTAGGCCTACACTGCAGGCAAAAGTCAGGACTAACATTTAGCATGTTATTAATTTTATTACCACCCTTATATTCTCTGAAATGTTATCTTTATTGAGGGTGACTTGAAAAGGTTAATAATTTGGAAGGAAGGGGGTGCAACCTGGCACACGCTTCTACCTCTTGGTTGCTTTGATCCATTGCCGAAAATATTTTGGCACCTATCATCCCCCCCTACCACGGATACAAATCGACACCCCTGGTCACTGCCATTTGAGTGTGCCCGGCCCCCTCTTCAATAACGACTCCCAAGCCTTCGAGAATGACCCCAAAATTTCTAGATTACCATTCTGCCGCTCTTTGAGGGGCCGGGCGCGACCTTTTCAGAAGAGTGTTTCTACACTAATCTTTTCATGCACTACGGCTTTACATAAACAAACATGCTAAGAATTCTTTTAAATAAGCATAATTCCTACTCAGTTTTGCATAACCTAAATATTAAAATACGGTCAGTCACCCCTCTCCCCCTCAATGCACCCGCATTTCACACACGCACCCTCCTCCCTAGTCTTTCCCTTATTCGTCGTTACTGTCACTTAGTGCCATTTCGCTGTATTTCTCTCCCGGCTTCTGTCTTCTTTTTCTTTCTCTTTCTCTTTGTTGAACTCTCTCTTACTTTTCCTTTCTTTTCTCTTCTCCTTTTTTTTTCTTCTTCTTTTCATTTCTCCTTTTCTCTTCTTTTCTTCCTCTTTTTTTACTTCTCAATTTATTTGCGCCGCCAATAGGGGAGGGGGGCCGCGGCCGTTTCGGCCCACCCCTGGATCCGCCACTGATTATAATCAATTATTGTGTTTGTGCCTCTCTCCGCAAATCTTGCAAGTGGTTGGTTAAGGGTTAGAGATAATTGGTCCAGTGTTGAAGTTAAGAATTCGGATAGTATAGGAAATTGGCTAGGAGCAAGTTTCGATAGAGCAAGTAGTGTCGCAAGATCAGCAAGTATCGTATATAAACAAAACTTACCAGAGCTACCATGTTTGCAGCAGATGGCTTTACTTCACTACGGAACTGGTTATGTCGAGCCAGGATTTTGTCTCTATCCCATTGATTATATATTCCATTAACAACTGGGAGCCATTCCTCGGTCAGGTCGGTGACTTCGGCCATCTCTCCAAAGGAGACTGCCAAAACAAGCACGAGACTCAATGCACAGATCATGATGATGTGGTGTGTTTGTACAGGTAGGCACTGCTCAGATATGCAGGCGCGGAGCTAGGATCTTATTTTAGGGAAGGCGGCAGTGAGCAAGCGAATCACTCAAAGAGCGCTCATTAGGGGATGTGGGTGATAGGCCTCTAAATTATTAGGAAAAGAAGACGATTTATTGTACCTTTCTCGACTGTTAATCCTTGTCTAAATGAAGTCCCCCCCCCCCCCTCCCGCGCGAAGCTCGAAAGCTTTGACGTTTCATTAAATTATTTTGAAAAGAAGACAATTTGCTGTACCGTTCTCTACTGTTAATCCTTGTCTGAATTCAGTTTCTCCCCACACGCGCGAAGCGCGGAAGTTTTGGCGTTTCGTTATTATTAGAGAAAGTAGACGATTCGTTGAACCTTGCTCGACTCTAAATCCTTGTCTGAATCAAGCCTCCCCTTCCGCGTATAGCGCGGAAATTTTGACGTTTCATTAAATTATTAGAGAAAGAAGACGATTTGTTGTACTGTTCTCGACTCGTCTACATGAAGTTTTCTCTCTTCGCGCGAAGCGCGGAATTTTAGGCGTTTCATCACAATATAGAGAAAGGAAGACGATTCGTCGTACCGTTTTCGATTCTTATTACTCCCTATTCAATTAAATTCAGTTTCCCCCTCTCGCGTGAAGCGCGGAAGCTTTGGCGTTTCATTAAATTATTAGGGAAAGAAGACGATTCGTTTGTACCGTTTTCTAATCTTAATAAGCCCTATTTGATGCACTGTTTTCGACCCTTAATTCTTATCTGAATAAAGCTTCCACCTCCCGCGCGAAGCGCGGAAGTTTTGACGTTTCATTAAATTATTAGAGAAAGAAGACGATTCGTTGTACCGTTCTCGACTCGTCTAAATGACGTTTTCCCCTTCCGCGCGGGGGGGGGGGGGCGTTTCATCACAATATAGAGACAGGAAGACGATTCGTCGTACCGTTGTTGACTCTTAAACCTTGTTAGAATTTAGTTTCCCCGAAAATTTTAAACCTCTGATTTCTTTAGCTGATATTATAGGAAAGTGAAACTTCGAGAAAATACAAGTATTGTAGTTGTAGTCACTCTCGAAGTCGTCACAGCGGATAAAATGTCACAGTTCGTAGGGAGAAAACTTGTCGGCCGACCAACAATATACATCTCACCAACTTCAAAATTCTGCATTGATATAGTACACGAGGATCGAGCAAGAATACCGACACAGCTGACCCGACATAGCAACATATTTACCCGTGTCTTTCTTGCTCCCTCGACGAGACGACTCCACCCAACAACCCCTGCTCTCTTTTACTCCCACTCCTCCTCTCTCAGGCTCTTACCTCTCCTCTCTCTCCTCTCTTTCACCCCCGTTTCTTTTGTTTCCCTTTTTACTCTCTTTTCTTTCTTTTCCTTTCTTGCCTCTCCTCGCTCTTTTTCTTTTTTCTCTTTCTTTCTTCTCTTTTCTTTCCTTTCTTTTTCCTTTCTTTCCTTTCTTTCCTTTCTTTTCCTTTCTTTCTTCTCTTTTCCTTTTCTTTTTTCTTTTCTTTCCGTTTCCCTTTCTTTTTCCCTCCCCCTTTTCTCTTTTTTTCCCGACGGCAGCGCAATTTTACCGACAATATCCTGACAGGTGGGAGGGGGGTGTCGCATCCCCCACACCCCGCCCTTTTGCGACGCCCCTGCTGGTAGGCCTACACTGCAGGCAAAAGTCAGGACTAACATTTAGCATGTTATTAATTTTATTACCACCCTTATATTCTCTGAAATGTTATCTTTATTGAGGGTGACTTGAAAAGGTTAATAATTTGGAAGGAAGGGGGTGCAACCTGGCACACGCTTCTACCTCTTGGTTGCTTTGATCCATTGCCGAAAATATTTTGGCACCTATCATCCCCCCTACCACGGATACAAATCGACACCCCTGGTCACTGCCATTTGAGTGTGCCCGGCCCCCTCTTCAATAACGACTCCCAAGCCTTCGAGAATGACCCCAAAATTTCTAGATTACCATTCTGCCGCTCTTTGAGGGGCCGGGCGCGACCTTTTCAGAAGAGTGTTTCTACACTAATCTTTTCATGCACTACGGCTTTACATAAACAAACATGCTAAGAATTCTTTTAAATAAGCATAATTCCGACTCAGTTTTGCATAACCTAAATATTAAAATACGGTCAGTCACCCCTCTCCCCCTCAATGCACCCGCATTTCACACACGCACCCTCCTCCCTAGTCTTTCCCTTATTCGTCGTTACTGTCACTTAGTGCCATTTCGCTGTATTTCTCTCCCGGCTTCTGTCTTCTTTTTCTTTCTCTTTCTCTTTGTTGAACTCTCTCTTACTTTTCCTTTCTTTTCTCTTCTCCTTTTTTTTTCTTCTTCTTTTCATTTCTCCTTTTCTCTTCTTTTCTTCCTCTTTTTTTACTTCTCAATTTATTTGCGCCGCCAATAGGGGAGGGGGGCCGCGGCCGTTTCGGCCCACCCCTGGATCCGCCACTGATTATAATCAATTATTGTGTTTGTGCCTCTCTCCGCAAATCTTGCAAGTGGTTGGTTAAGGGTTAGAGATAATTGGTCCAGTGTTGAAGTTAAGAATTCGGATAGTATAGGAAATTGGCTAGGAGCAAGTTTCGATAGAGCAAGTAGTGTCGCAAGATCAGCAAGTATCGTATATAAACAAAACTTACCAGAGCTACCATGTTTGCAGCAGATGGCTTTACTTCACTACGGAACTGGTTATGTCGAGCCAGGATTTTGTCTCTATCCCATTGATTATATATTCCATTAACAACTGGGAGCCATTCCTCGGTCAGGTCGGTGACTTCGGCCATCTCTCCAAAGGAGACTGCCAAAACAAGCACGAGACTCAATGCACAGATCATGATGATGTGGTGTGTTTGTACAGGTAGGCACTGCTCAGATATGAAACAGCTCTTGGGATGCTAACGTATATATTAGGGCTGGTTACCTACTGACCGACCGACGTAGGTAATTTCACCTTCGAAAGATTTATTAGACTTTTATATGTTCTTCGGAATCCAATCAGAATATTAATTTTGTGACATTGAATACCATATGCTCATAGCATGCCCATGAGGCTGCATGCACGCTATCGTTATAGCAGGGCTGTCAACAGGCGCGGATCCAGGATTTCTAAGGGGGGGGGGGGCAAATTTGAAATTATGCGAGCCAAATATTGGTACGTAATGGTGACACCGGCAGTGGCAAAAACGTTTGGGGGGTGGGGGTAGACAAAAAAAAATCCCCATCACCCCACTCACTTAATTACTGTCAGATGAGCATATTTTGATACCTTACTTGTGACACTGGTAGGACACAAATTGGTGTTGGGTCCAGGGGGCAGAGCCCTCTGAAGTTCAGAGGTTTTATACATCAAATTATCGTCAGATGATAATAATTTTATACCTTATTTGTGACACTGGAAGGTCAAAAATTGGCGTGGGGTCCAGGGGGTGGATCCCCCGGAATTTCAGGGTTTAATTGGGGCAATAAATTATATGTTCAGATGAGCTTATTTGTAAATTTTATTTGTGACACTGGCAGGTCACTAATTGGCGTGGGGTCCAGGGGGCGGAGCCCCCAGAAGCTCAGGGAATTTTGGCACTTTATAACGGTCAGACAAGCATGCAGGGGCCCGCCTTAGGGCCCCTGGTGGGGTCAAGGGGTGGAGCCCCGGAAACTTAGAGGTTTTACGGTCAGATAAACATATTTTGATACCTTATCTGTGACACTCAGGCTGGCAGGACACTAATTGGTGTGAGGTCTAGGGGCCGAGACCCCAGAAGCTCAGGGGTTTTAAGCATTAAATTACCGTCAGATTAGCATCCAGCCGTCCGCCTTAGGGCCCTAGGTGGGGTCCAGGGGGCAGAGCCACCGGAAGTCAAGGGGTTTTAGGCATTTAATTCCGGTCAGATGAGCATATTTTGATACCTTATTTGTAGCACTGGTAGGTCATTAATAGAGGATTATGTTATAGTTTGATCTTAATTAAGGGTATATTCTTTTATCTAATTTGTTTACAGACCGTGATCATTGTTGAAGTCTACTGATCGACTGACACAAATAGCCAAATCTTACTTATGATCACGGTTTGACTCAATCAGGGGCGTACGCAGGGGGGGGGGGGTTGGGGGTTCAACCCCACCCCCCCCCCCCCCTTTGGTATTTTTATGTGTGTAAACCCCCCTAAAAAAAACCAAACCCCCCCCCCCCCCCCCCCCACGAGACTCAATGCAAAGATCATGATGATGTGGTGTGTTTGTACAGGTAGGCACTGCTCAGATATGAAACAGCTCTTGGGATGCTAACGTATATATTAGGCTGGTTACCTACTGACCGACCGACGTAGGTAATTTCACCTTCGAAAGATTTATTAGACTTTTATATGTCCTTCGGAATCCAATCAGAATATTAATTTTGTGACATTGAATACCATATGCTCATAGCATGCCCATGAGGCTGCATGCACGCTATCGTTATAGCAGGGCTGTCAACAGGCGCGGATCCAGGATTTCTAAGGGGGGGGGCAAATTTGAAATTATGCGAGCCAAATATTGGTACGTAATGGTGACACCGGCAGTGGCAAAAACGTTTGGGGGGTGGGGGTAGACAAAAAAAAAATCCCCATCACCCCACTCACTTAATTACTGTCAGATGAGCATATTTTGATACCTTACTTGTGACACTGGTAGGACACAAATTGGTGTTGGGTCCAGTGGGCAGAGCCCTCTGAAGTTCAGAGGTTTTATACATCAAATTATCGTCAGATGATAATAATTTTATACCTTATTTGTGACACTGGAAGGTCAAAAATTGGCGTGGGGTCCAGGAAGTGGATCCCCCGGAATTTCAGGGGTTTAATTGGGGCAATAAATTATATGTTCAGATGAGCTTATTTGTATATTTTATTTGTGACACTGGCAGGTCACTAATTGGCGTGGGGTCCAGGGGGCGGAGCCCCCAGAAGCTCAGGGAATTTTGGCACTTTAT